TGCTGTGCAGGTGGTTAAAAAATTCTGAATCGCTTGGTAATTTGGACCAGTTGTTGTGTCATCTGTCAGCGTCGCAGCGCAGTGAACTGACACATTTGGTGCGTAATTATCCCTGTTTGTTTAGTGACATTCCCACGCAGACTGACTGGATCGAGCATGATGTGGATGTAGGAGATGCTTGGCCCATAAAACAGCAGTTTTACCGGGTGGCACCAGGTAAACGTGAGCATTTGGATGCTGAGGTTGAGGTATATGCTCCAAAATAAGATAGCTGCTCCGTTGTCATCCAGCTGGGTTTCGCTGTGTATTTTGGTGCAGAAGCACGATGGCACGCCTCGGTTTTGTACAGACTTATGTAAAGTAAATGCTGTTACGAAGTCCGATTTGTTTCCCTTGCCGCGCATGGGTGATTGTATTGTCCAAGTGGGCTCGGCCAAGTTTATTAGCAAGTTTGACCTGCTGAAGGGCTACTGGCAGGTGCCTTTGTCTGAGCGTGCGCAAGAGGTCTGTGCTTTCGTCACTCCATCTGGCCTTTACACTTACAAGGTGATGCCTTTTGGGCTTAAAAATGCCCCTGCAACATTCCAACGTTTGATGAACCGCATAGTGTCGGGTTTGCATGGTTGCTCAGTCTATCTGGATGATTTGATAATTTATAGCGATACATGGCACTCGCATCTCCAGCGCACTCGGGCACTGTTTGACCGGTTAGCTGGAGGGTGCCTTACCATTAACCTTGTCAAGTACGTCTTTGCACGGGCTACAGTAACATACCTTGGCCGTGTGGTGGGACAGGGTTGTGTGGCCCCAGTCCAGGCCAAGATTATGGCAGTGGCCAAATACCCACAACCCACGACGAAAAAGGAACTGCAAAGGTTCCTGGGTTTAGTTGGTTATTATAGATGTTTTTGCAAAAACTTCTCCACTGTTGTATTCCCATTGACTGAATTGTTAAAGGCCAAGGCTAAATTTGTCTGGTCAGCTGCCTGCCAACATGATAATGTGAAATCTTTACTGTGTTGTTCTCCTGTTCTAACAGCTCCATGTTTTGACCGGGCATTTATGCTCCAAGTGGATGCCAGCCAGGTGGGAGCAGGTCCGGTCCTGCTGCAGGGGGATGATCAGGGTGTTGTGAGACCCGTCAGCTTCTTTTCTAAGAAGTTTAATCATTATCAGTCTAACTACTCTGTAATAGAGAAGGAAGCATTGGCACTCATGTGGGCCTTGCAACATTGCAATGGCCCTGGCCTATATGTTCTTGATGTTGCCTCTCAGTCCCTCTCTCTCTGTTTCCTCTCTGAGGTGTGGCCTGGTTGCCTGATCTGGAGCACCTGGGCTAGGTGCTCCTGCAGAGGATAAAAGGCAGAAGCTTCAGTGCTTCTCCCTCTCTCTTCATCCTGGCAGCACCCTTGTTGGTTTTGTTGAGGCTTTTGCACACACAACACCATGCAGCACATTCTCACACACCCACACGCGCACTACTGATCCTACTGACTTAACAGATCTTATTCTTTATCTCATTAGTTAATATTTGTTTACTTTAATAAATTACTTAATTTACTTGTATTCTGAGTCCTTTCCCTTCTTTGCCATAACCTCTTGAGCCAGGGTTATGACAGTAAGAATGTTGTCAAAAGTAACCAACTCATAGCTCCAGCTCACCAACAGAAAGGCAGCAGGATCTTTTAAACATGGTGCGTACCCAAAATTAAACATGGTCTTGACGTCAACTTCACGTTCCCTATATTTGACACTGAACATCCAAACAAGCAATCAAAACAAGCAGAGTTACCGAAATATTAATTAGACATTACATTTTGCAGTTCCAACTGTACACCTCCTGTCTTTGTGAAAAGGGCCTGACCTGACACTTGGAAAGTCTCATCACAGTACTGTGGTGTGTGGTGGTTTAAATGCTAATGCATGAATAGTCAAGACCCCCCCACCCCACCCCCCCATTATCATATGGGTGAGGAAATACAGAAATAAATGAATAGGGAAATAAATGAAAACAGAAATAAATGTAAAAAGAAATAAATGTAAACATAAAAGAATAAATTAATACAGAAAATAAGTAATTTGTCAAATAAATAAATAAATTGTATTTATTTATTTTTATATTTCTGTGCATATTTATTTATTTTCAAATTAACCTGCACATTTATTTGATAACTGGGCATTTTATCTCTACATTTTTTTGTTTATGATTTCATTTATTTATTTATTGAGCCATTTTGATTTTGGCAGTTTCAGTCCTGAATAGCACTACAGGTTTCCAGCAAAACAAATTGTAGCTACTTTAAAAAGGCGTACCTAAAACAATCAATATCAGTCTAAGTGGGCGCTACTTTTATAATATTTTCATCACTTCACCTGTGAGTCTAGCGAGAAAGTTGGCAACTGTGTGGTGTGTGTGTGTGTGTGTGTGTGTGTGTGTGTGTGTGTGTGTGTGTGTGTGCGTGTGTGTGTGTGTGTGTGTGTGTCCGCAATGGTGCAGACTGAATAGAGCATGTCTTCACCTTCATCCACTGTGTAAGTTTGCCTTACTAACTTCTATCACATTACTACTGGCAACAAACCTCTGCTATTTAAATCCATTGTTTACTTTCCAACCGCAGTGGTTATATCAGAGCAAGCCACTAGCAGGCCTATGCCTATTTGGAAATTAATACCACCATTAATACTTAACCGGTACGTTTTTCAGGGGCAGATTCAGTGACTGGCTGTCCTAGGACAAACGCTGTCTTGCTATGCTTTTCTGGCTTTCTTTCAGTGGAAATGTTGGTATTGGCAGTGAAGGGAAGGGGTAGGTTTACTCAAACGTACCTTTTTTCAAAAATAAAACCATGAGCTATCTGTGTAGTAAAACTAGGCCTATTAATATCACAGTAAAAGTCCTGCATTTAAATTTTAACTTGAAGTGAGGAGTGAAAAGAAGCATTATCAGGACAGTATACTTAAGCCTTCTTAACGTATGTGGTGGAGAACAAAATTGAGCTTTCAATTCTAATATAATACTAGACAGTTTCATAATAATACATCATTTTTAATGGTTATATTTTGTGAGCAAAATCTGAATATAACATCTCTGTCAGGTAAATGTAGTAGTAGGCCAACAATGTTTTCTTACAAAGTTAAAGTACACGTTAGTACTATACTGCTGAATTTCATATTTTTTTAACCCTATGGGCCCGAACGACGCATAGTGCATCCAAATTCACATCAGTTCTTCTCTGTGGATTTTCTCCGCGATCGTGCGTCATAGCGAGAAGCCACGCATATCACGTGAAACAGCAGAACGGTAGCTTTCCGAGAAGGCTAAGCACTTGTCGGTAGTCCAATGTTTTCACAGCGAAAAAAAATATAAAGTTTCACTAAAATGATGTATAACAGAGCTTTCATACAGCTTTGCACACACATTACTGTTGGATGGATTACTCGCGAACGCAGGCTCGCACAGACATGCCACGCATATCACATGAAAGCGCAGGAGCAGAGCTTTCCAGGGATACCACATCATTGTACTGTCATCCCATCACGCTATAAATACAGATTGATTGTCTACAAAATAAAAACCTGACGAATTTCTTTACAATCCATTATACAGATCTTGTTATCAGTCACTTCATATAGTGAGGAATATCGTATCTTACCACGTCTTAGGCTTGCGTGTGTTTCTCCCTGTCTATCCACATTTGTAGTCCGGCTTTCAAGATGCAAATATCTCCATATTGTCCAGTTGACACTCCATCAAACTTTGTATGACAAGACCAGCCACTTCACCTTTGCGCACCCAGACAACTGCAGCCTAATTATGCATGCTGACAGGGCCGTAGTCACCATATACATTGAGGGGGACACGTGCCCCCCCACCAATGCCCAAAATGTCTCCCCAATATATAACTGAAACTGAAAAACAAATATTATCTTGGAGGACATCATTGCACTTGGTTGACTATTTTTCTATGATCTTAGATGTAAATATTGCATGTTTCTTTCAGATAAAACACATTTTTGACTTGTGAATGAGTCAATGGAATTTCTTGCAATAATGAAAAAATACTGGCAATCATGTCCGCCTGGCACAAACCACATGTTTTGGACAGCTGTGAAGTGACAGAATGTCCCAGCATCATGGTTCTTATATTGCCAGATTCCAGAGAGTCTCCCCTCTTCATATATGGCAGAATATGTCAACTTCCAACTTGCTATGGTGAGATACATGTAAAAATGTAAGAATTTAGTCACACGGATTTGTTTTTTTCATTGATATAAAAATTAATATAAAATACAGGCACATAGAAGGACATGAAATGATGGCAAATCTGGTTAGTCCACATTGTCCTGAAAAAAACAAGATATAGAATGTGTATGTAGCCTTTATAATGACTGTGATATGAGCTTAAAAGTAAAGGCAGTAAAAATACCCCAAAAACGCCTAGGGCCCAAAGGGTTAAGTGCTTTGGGGGGGTTTGTTGGTTATTTCAGGGCACAATGAGTTACGACAGAAACATCATTTAACATTTTTCATATCTAAATATAATAAATCTATGTTGTTTGGGGCTCTGGTGTATTGCTCAGGACCCAAGCTAGCACAGTGCCGAGGGTGAAGTTGTTTGTATGGGCGGTTCTCAAGAAAGCAGCAAACAGCAATACCACAGTTCCCAACAGACATGTTTTTAAGCAAGCACTGCACTAGTTGTACAGGTGTCAGCACCTCACCTGATAAGCACTCATAAGGATCACCTTGGTGTGCAGTGACAAAATGTCAGGTAAGGACCTGTTGGTTGAAAAACTGTAATAACAGGATCAGAATTAAAAATGAATGAATTTGGATGGGATTGGCATGATGTAAGTCACTGGGCAAGAAGAATAAAAACATAGATTAGACCAAGAGAACAGAAATAATATAGAAAGAACATTCTACATGTTCAGTTGTTGTTTCGTTGTGTTTTAATATGCTTGATCCAAAGTTGCCTGTTGTTTCTTCCATCTGGCAGCTCCTGGAGGCTGGTGCTGACAGCAGTCTGCAGAGGAAGAAGAGACAGAACCAGGATTTCCTGCAGCCCTACATCGCTGCCAAGCTGGACACTCTGTCTGAGATTTTCACACTAGGTGATGAGAAGAAATACAATGGCTACTACAACAAAGCTCTCCTTGACCAGCAGCAGTATCACTGCTTCGTTCTGGCTGAATGGACGGGCCATGAGTCTGTGAGTGACCTCTATGTATTTATAAGTATGAGTGTGTACAACATATTTATTTTTTTTGTGCCTTGTGCAGAGGATAGTGCACTTTGGCCAATCACAAGACTCTTTGGCCAGTTGCTATGCAATCATAAGACAATCATCAAAAATCATCACCATTTTCACCAAACACTTTTGGTATGGTACCTTTGGCACCTAAAGTAACCCTGCAGACGTGGTACCTAGACCCTAGGTCCATTTAGTGCTCTTAAATGTGGGCGGGGTTGTTATCACTTACTGCTCCATCCAGCACTCTCTATCTTTCCTCATCACCGGTGACACGGATAGAAACCTGCACCTATTTATCGTCCACAGATCGAAGTTGCATGCCGACATTTTCAGAACAAAATAGAACAGATAAGAATGAGTGTCTCTCTCTGGGATAGCAGGTTTGTGCATTTAGTCCGCTGCTGCTAGAAACAGCAAAACATCCTTTCATTTTATCTTATTATATAATGATGAAAACTCTGTCTGTGGGTGTGCCTGTGTGCCTGTTCCATGTTTTTATCCTCACTGACTTGGTCAATCCATGTGAAATTTGGCACAGTGGTAGAGGGTAATGGAAGGATGGGAATGAAGCAATATTACATCAATTGGCCAAAGGGGGGCGCTATAGCAACCGATTGAAATCGCAAACTTTGAATGGGCATATCTCAAGGCCCGTATGTCGTAGAGACATGAAACTTTGCACAGAGATGCCTCTCCTCATGCGGAACGAATTTGCCCCAAGAACCCATAACCCATACAAATTTGCCGCATTTTGAATTTTTGAAAAACACTTAAAATCGATCTCTTCCTAGGAAGTTTGACCAATCTGCATAAAACTTGGAAAACATAATCTAGGGACCAGTATCTAAAGTTCCTGTCGAAACAAAAACTAAAGGTCTGGAGCTGGGCCAGAAAGCTCGTGACCTCGTTCCCATCTTCTCGAACAGACTTTCTTTGTTTTCCATTAGATATCAAAAACTCAAATACTCAGAGGTAAAAAAATCACTGGAGACATGTAGAATCAGATGCAACTGAGTTTAATGTGCTCGCAGGCAACAAATACATCACAACTCAATGAGTCAAGCTCCGGAGCAGGACTGAAATTTCTTTGTTTGCGCACTCGTTTTTATTGTGAAGATTTTCTGCTGAGTCGTCTCTTTCTTAATCCTTCCCACTTGTCTCTGATCGTAACAATGTCATTTCTGCTGATTTTCCACTTTTTTCCTTTCATTCTACCACCATAACGGTGTCATATTTCTGCTGAGTCTTCACTTTTTCTCCTTTCATCCTAAACCCCGCCTCTTTACTTGTACTCGTAATGTTTTCTTGGACAATCTAAGACCGCCTCCTCTTACCAGGGTCATATCAGGACAAGCTGTAATTCTCCTAACTTTCCACCAGTGTTTCTGAGCCCATCCTCATGCTATTTTTAGAAATGATGCCTAGGTACTTCTCCACCACAATACTTTAAAGTGTCTTTAAATTTCAACTTAAAGGTACAGTATAAACACTTCAGTAAACATTACACTACATTCCCCCCTTTGGGGCTAACAAGTCCCACTAAATAGTGAGGGAGGAAAATATATATTCCCCCCTTTGGGACCAGAAGGTCCCGTACTACAATCTACATGAATCAGCAAGCTTAACAGAGGGAAAAAATATATATTCCCTCCTCTGGGACTGCAAAGTCTCACTCTACCCAAGTGATTAGCCAAACATCAAACACACTATATTCTACTGATTACAGCTTGGTATAGGCACAAGGGTAAGGCACTCAATGTGTAATATCACTCTGTTACAGTGTTTAATCTAAAACCTAGAAAGGTGATTGTTAAGTAGTGCAACACACAAGATAAGTCACAGTGGGATACATCATCACTCCAGTGTATACATAATTATAGAACGATTACAGTGGGTGGAACACCCTAGTGATCCTGCAACTGTTGATACAGCACAGTCACTGGTCAGTAGAGTCAGTGGAAACATAGGCCAACGTCCCGGCCATACAAAGACGGCGGTAAGCTGCAACTTGATCCTTCAGTAACACGATCTCAAGCTCCAACTCTTGATAGGTTGCCATCTGCTGTTGCAGGTTTTGGTTGTCTCCTGTCAGGATGCGAACTTGAGCATGCAGGGTGATCTTCTCCTGTTGATCCCGTTCATGCTGCTCCTTCAGGCCCCAGTGATTTTCCACCATCCTGCGCTTATAGGTGTAATGGCGCAGCTTGTGCAGGCTGTGTCGCAGCTCTAGAGAGAAGCTGCACACCAGGCGATGGTAGAATGTTGCAGGAACATCATAGAGTTGGGTGTGCAGGTCATCCACGAGCTGCTTGTATCTCTCAGTGGTGGGCATCTCGTTTTGCAGCTCGCGGAGATGCCCTTCCACCGCCTCAGGCCACATGTTATATTGGCCTTGCAACAGGACTCTGGTGGCTCGGGAAAATGTTTTTTGTGGCACAGATGTGCGCATGATGGCTGGGGGTTTTGGTTCTTGTGGCACGGGTATGCGTCTACCTGCTGGAGAGGGCTGCAAGGGGATTGATCGTGGAGGGCTAGTGGGAGAATAAGACATGTGTACAGGCATGGGCCCTCCTTCGTCAATCTCTGAGTCCTCCGTTGAAGAAGACATTGCCTCAGGGGCAGGTTTGGGCCGTGGTACCCATTGCCTGCTCTCTGGCACCTCGTATTGCATGGGCTGCATTACTCTGGTGGTTGGCCGGGACCCGAGTGCAGTTGACACCATGCATTGGGATGTGGACGGCATCATACCGTCAGGGCGCATATCCCATGGGTTCATCATGTGGCTTGGGCCTGGCCGGGCCACGTCGTACACGTTGGTGACACTGGGGGGTTGGTTGAAGATTGTCTGGTCTACCAGTCCTCCTATCACGGTCCTTCCATATTCCGTCGTGGTCATCCCCTGGCCTGGGATCTCAAACTGGGGCTGGTCCTCTGGCATGGCACGTTGTGAGTTGTCAATGGGGCTGAAAGGGTTGATGGGAATCCAGTGCGGGATGTTCGTCAATGGCAGCTGCATAAGCGGTGGCACGTAGGTTTCTGGCGAGGTAATCGGTGCGTACTGGTACCAATGGGCTTCAATGGGGGCTCCTCCTTGGGGCACATATGGGAATGGGGGTCAGTTGGTCAGCCTGGGAGATGGGTTGGGGTGGTCTGGGCGCTCCGGCATGGCTGGGCGCTCTTGGTCGGCCAACCCTGGAGTCTGCTGCTTTGGATACGGGGATCTCCAACTGCTGGCCATGCTCTGCACCTATCTAGGTGTTGTAAGGGACATTGTTTAATTCAATTCACTTCCCTCTTAGTTAAATTCACTTCCCTCTTTTCCTCCTTTTCCTTCTAATTGCCCCGTGGTATAAATAACCTATATATGTTAATCAGTCGATTGTTAGTATGGGTTTGGTAACAGCAAGGTTTTACCTGAATCTACTGCCAATTATTTGGTTATTTCTTACCCTGAATCAGCTCTCCCTCTATACGACCTCGTATTCCCCTTCCAGGTTCCCCTTCATTGGCTCATATAAGTTTATATTGTCAGCCATATTCTCACATACGTATTGTCAATCATGGTCTCATATAAATCATTGTTCAATCTTTTGGGTGCATAGGGTCTTACCCACGGTTCATCTAGTTCCCACAATTCGCCTTTCTCAGGGAGCTTTTCCTGCTGTTGTATCAGCATGACAAATTGTCCTGTGGCTGCTCTCATGGCCCTTCTTACTAGTATCTGTATTAGGGGAATGACGCAACAGATTATCAAGAGAATAGTCAATAGAACGAGTCCAAATATTACTCCTATAGTCCGTAAGATTTTTCCAACAGAGAACTTTTCTAACCAGTCAAGAATTGATGAGGTTTTAGTGTTCCAATTGGAGTGTTTGTACTTGTTGGTCTCTTAGTCTATGTATGTCTTCTAAAGCTTGAGTCAAGTTGCCATCTTCACCTGTATTCATGGGGATAGGACACCTTGGTCTGGGGCTAACGTTGTTTCGATGATAAGTCTGTTCTGCACAGTCATTAGGGATGTAGCATGCAACTGTTCACTCACACCTTCCAGTGCTGCTATAGACCAATTTACGAACCTCTGTTGATTGTACCACAAATAGTTCACCCAGCGGCTATTACGCGCTATGTATTGGGCATTCATTATGGTCCCTACAAATGGCATAGCACCTAATCCTCTACCTTTGCTAAGGTCATAAGTCCAAATCCATGTGGCATGAGTGAGATTGCACCCCATGACATATGAGGTCTTAGCTGTGCCGCTTACCACCTGGTGACATTGAATCTTAGCTTTCTCTACGGTTTGACACACTTTTGCAATCCAAGTCTGATTAGTTTGCTTATGGGAGGCACTTTCCTACCGGCACTGGATCAATTGTTCCACCTCGAGCATGTTGTTGCTGCTAGTGGAGTTCTCTAACCAATGTTTGATGTGCCCTCGGGCTACACAAAAGGGAAATACAATGTCTTGAGCCAAATGCACTACTGGTGGTACTTGAAATTCCTTTTTAATTTACTCAGGAGCCCCTTTAAGGCTTATTGGGCAGATTTCACTATTATTGGCGTAATTGGTTTTCCCTGCCGCCATCCACATAGTACACTGTGCAAAACAGGTGTCTCGCCGTTCACATTCCTCTATACCTGGGAGGGGCCTAACTCTGGGTAGGCCTAATTTTCTGTGGCATGCTATGCACGAGCTGTTGGTTACTTGTTTGGTGGAGTACTCTAACCACTGGTATAACATATTAGATCTCCACGTGGTATTTCTAATTAGTTTGGTGTCTCAGTCTGGCACGTTTCTGGTTCTTCTGCGGAGTTCTGGTTTTAGTTTGAGCCATTGCTGAGCCAGTTCTATGGGTACTGTGTGCCCAGTGTCTACGTTGGCACAACTTTCATGATCACACCAGACTCTTGCTGTCACCATCCCCTCTGCACTACATTGTGGTCCTATAGACCAGCCA